GGTAGAACCGTCTCGTTTTCTCCGATCTGGTTATGGAGGTATGTGTTTTCCGATCTGTTTCTAGTGTCTCGACATTCGGCGGCTCTGTTCTCGTTGGTTGGGGAATCGAGAGTTGTTTTGTTGCATGTTCCGGCTGGTTCCGAGGTGGATCTGAAGAGTTCTAGTCTTGGATTTTGTTGGCTTTGCGGTGGTACTGTCTCGTGTGAGGCGTGTATTTAGCCGGCGTTTCGTTTCCATGACTTGGTCCTGAACATCCCTTTGGTGCTGCAGCAACGGCCTCTTTGTTTGCGGTTTCTTCCTCTGTTTGTGAGTTTGAGTGACTTCTAGGGTTTGTGTTTTGCTGTGATTTTCGATTTGTTGTGATTTGAAGCCTCAGGTTCAGCTTTTGGGTAGGCTTGTTTGACTCCTTGCTCTGCCTCTGTCTCTGTCCTCCTCTTGGTTTTTGGTGTGGTGATTTGGCGATAGGTTCTGTTTTGTGGGTTCTCCATTCGGATGCTAGCTTTCTACAATGGCATCTACTAGCTCTCTGTTGGAACCTCGTTTGGTTTCTCGGCTGAGTTCTGGACGTTGTGGTGGGTCGATCCCTTGTCCTTCTCTTTGCGTGGCGTAACCAGTGTTTAGTCTGTAGGTAGCTTTGGCTGGGTCTACGAAGGTCCGTGTATAAGGATGGGTGGTCCTATTTGGCGTTTCCCCTCTCGGATCTCAAGGTTTTCCTTGATCCTCCGCTTTCTCATTTTCATTGGCTCTAAAGTGGTGGTGGTGGTTAGGTTCTGTGTTCTGATCTTCTTGCTTCGTCGTCTTCGTTTCTGCTGTGGAGATGGTTGTGTGAGCTCGATTTAGTTTCCTTCTCGAGGCTCCTGTTTGTTGTCTCTCCATGCTGCCAAACTGTTCTATGGAAGTGTTAGTCGACTGCTTGTAGGGAAGAGTTATCAGTGTTGTGGCTTTGGAGGCTTTAGCTGTTACTCCTTTAGTTGTAATCTTTGTATTGTATTTTCTAAGGCTTGATATGTTTGTCTGTCTCTTTTGGCCTTATGTCTCCGGAGGTTTCTATGTACCCGCCGGCTTTGTCTCCGAAAAGTTTTCGTTCCTTGTCGGCTTTGTGTAACTCAAAATCGCATTCTATCAATGAAATCCTTTAGACGAAAAAAAAAAAAAAAGTATAGGAACTAGACAATTAGGTTTTATACTTACTAAGTTGTAATATAGAAAACTTGTATAGATTGGCTATTGTAATAAAAAAGCTTCTATATAATTTTCATAAATAATATACAGTTTAAAATAAATCATAAAAAGTATTGGTATACATATGTACATGTATATAACAAAACTGTGTAGCAGATTTTTGATAGATTTACCATGCTATTTATAATACCGAATTGCAATTATAATTCACTAATTGTAATTAAAAAAAAAAAATCGGTATTTTTATTTAACCCGATTGTGGTGAGTATTGCCTCCTATTGAATCTACGTACCATTAGGGTGGTGGTTGGATTTGGCATTGGTCACTGTCAACTGAGGGTAGTCGTGACAAATTTGTCCAATTGGAGGATCCGACAACGAACGAGATTAATGAGTTTAAGAAGCAGAGAACAACAATATTGATATTTTAATGAATCGGTAAGTACATATTAGACTGAATTCGTGTAATATGAAAATTTAAATTTATATTTAAAATTGATCTATACTAAAAGAAATAATTATTCACCTCTACGATATTCTCCATTGAAGTTCAACTTTAGGTAGTCACAAACCATTGTTGGTTACATGATATTGATTTTTTATATATTAAGAAAACAACGATTAATTGTGAAATATGAATCATATCTTAGTTTAATTTAAATTGATTCATTATGTGTATATTAAAAAAAAAAGGTTTTCTGCAAAACAATCATCTAAGTCAATTTTGTTTGCAAGTTTAACCTCTAAGTCTGAATTATACAAGTCAACCCCACAATCTCAAAAGTTACCCGCAATACAGTCCTCCCGTGTAGCGATGACGTGGCATCCGATAACTCCGTTTGAAAACATAAGGGATTTTTGCAGAAAATCCCTCAAAGTATTTTTTTTTGCAAGACAAACCTCCATGTCAAATAAATGCAAGTCAAACCACAATCTCAAAATTCACCTACAGTATAGCCCTTCCGTGTATCGATGATGTGGCAATAGATAAAATAAGTTATCGATTATCACGTTATCGATACACGGAAGGGTTATATTGCATGTGACTTTTGAGATTGTAGTTTGACATGCATTTATTTGACATAGAGGTTTGTTTTGCAAAAAAAAAACTACATAGAGGGTTTTTTTGCAAAAGTCCCTTATGTTTTCAAACGGAGTTATCGGGTGCCACGTCATCGTACACGGGAAGGCTGTATTGCGGGTGACTTTTGAGATTGTGGGGTTGACTTGCATAATTCAGATTAGGAGGGTAAACTTGCAAACGAAATTGACTTAGAAGATTGTTTTGCATAAAACCCAAAAAAAAAAGAGTAATTACACTGCATACCCTAAGACTGAGTAGTATTTAAGTCAAAGGATCAGTGGCAAACTTGTAAATAAGTGATCCTTTGAAAACATGACAAAAAGACAGAAATGCCCCCAAAACCAAACGATTCCTTCCTTCTTCCTTCTTTCTTCGTTTCTCTTTCCTTTTATTATTTTTTTTTCTTTTTTTTTTCTTACTTTATGAAAACCCTAAACAAATGATTCTTTTTAATTGTGAAACTGATTGCATATAAAATTATGATATTTTTAATTCATTAAATTTGTTGTATTTTTCTGATCAGAATGCACTCAATAAACCTTACAAAATTTTCGGTACAAAAACGTCGCGAATTTGATGTCGTTCATGTTATCGATGGACATATATCAGAAATGATATAGGACACCATCAAACCGGCGATGCTATCATTGACCAGTGATGGATAAACATATTTATCTCACAATTCGTTTGTTGTCACCGTATTCCACTTATGTTGTCTCACTATACTCTCTTTCACATCCAACCACCACATCCTCCTCCTCCACCGCTAACATATTCTCCGCTCACATCACCATCACTACCTTCTTCACTAAGATACAATCAACCACAATGTCTTATTTACTTCACTCATCCTCCACATCCACCATAAACAACATTATTGAAATATTACGATGTAAGATATATATCCATGTATTCGATAATAAACAAGATATCACGATACATAATTGCATAGCAGAATATACTATCGATGCAGACATTTAATAAGTGGTGGCCCACTATAGAGTCTATGTCGTATCTGTCTCTTATGAAATTATCTCTCTTATATTTTGGAGGGTATTTTCGTCCAGAATTTGTTACTATAGCACTTTCTCTCTCTTGTTTTGCAAAGAAAAAAACTTGTGTATGTGAGAGCTAATTATTTCTCAAAAAACTAGCATACAGCTAATTGCCTCAAAAAAAATCCAAATTTGAACCTAACCAGATTAAGTAAAAAGAAAACTTTCCTAATTTTATATAAAAGTATATATGTATATTTAACTAATACTCTAATCTCAACAAAAAAAAAAAAAAAAAAAAAACCATACTAAATCATTTATAAGATTGTGCTTTACCATAAATTTTATTATTGATAAACACAAAAATTCTAAAACCCGAAAAATCCAAACCGATACCAAACCAAAATTCTGATTGCAAATTGCAATCTTCGACAGTAAAAGGTATTTTCAGTTTATTTAATAACTAAAATATATCAATATGGATCTTAGAGCACCCACAATCGGGTATCTCTGAAGATATGAGTTTGTGTTCATTTACTAATAAAATAATGTTCTAGATTTAACTATACTATAATGTGGGATCCACTACTCTGATGTGTTTGGCTCGCGCGTAAGCCACACGCAGTAATAATATTTCAATATCAAAAATCTGAACCAACCACAAAATGACACATGTCCCTCACACCCGAGTGTATGTTTACACTCGCCTTCCGACTCCTACACAACTTTTGCCTTATTTTCGATTATTTAATTACACACACTCCACCAACGAATACCCACTGCGTATGTTCTTATACCTAGTGCACAGCACTACGATACTCTACGAACCCCACGACAAATATGACATAGGCTATAAGCCATTATCCCACCTAGGACCTAGGAGCTAGGTTATATGAGTGGCCACATGTATACGTCACACTCATGCACATATAATTCCAACCGTAATCAACCACATAAATCCACCATAATAAAACAAAAGGAGACGCTAAATGGCCATGTTTCCAGTGAAAAACAAAACATATGGAAACTAGCTACATCACTACATAAAGAATACGAAATCCATCTAGTTTTTTTTTTTGTTTTTTTTCTGTGTAGTTTGGTTAAACAAAAATGTTGTCTATTACACACAGTTTCACATTCTTTTTCTTGTTTCTACCTTTCTTGTGTCGAAAATGGGGTTTCTTTTAATTTAAAGAAATTAAAGATATGTTTCACGTTTAGAGTTTGAGTTTTTGGGTTAGGGTTTAAGATTTTGGGTTCATAATTTAGGTTTTCTGATTTTGGGGTTTAGTATTTAGTAGTTAGATTTTCGAATTTAGGATTTGAATAGACTATTTTTTTAATTCAAAAAATATAGAACACATGGGTAACAAAATAAATTAACAAAATTATGACTTTCTGAGATGTAGATAACTAAATTGTGGCTGATAAACAAAATAGTAAAATACAAACAAAAGTATGATGTAAATAGTTAAGAAAGAAACAAGAGTACTGGTGCACATACATTTATTTGGGAGGATGAATAGTAAAATCATAAGTACATGCAGCCAAACAAAAAAAGACAAGGAAATACAAAAATTACCAAACAAAATGCATCCTCTCTTTTGCCACTCTTTTGACATAGCGGTTGTAAGTGTTAGAGATTAGTCTTGACTTGGATATGTAGACTGCATATTATCAAACAAAAAGGTTAAATAAAAGCACCTTAAATCAAAATTAACATAATCACTGAGTCATAACCTAATCAACCTCTCTTGTATCTGCATTGAACAGACTCCCAAGGTTCTCAAACGTCGAAGACATTGAGTCGGTCGAAGAACTATCTCCCTCGTCACTTGTAGTACCTACGGTACCCACTGCGTCTGCCTCTTGGTTCTCTTCCAGCAAACTCTTCGTCCACATAATCTCTCCATCCATTAGATTGTTGACGAAATTATCACATTTCTCCTTACCTTTGTTACATGTGATTATACTACCATATTTGGTGCTTACTTCGCCAAAGCCAACTTCTGACAAGACGTTGAGTGAGCTGCACCCATTATTGCTGGAGAAGGATCGAGGTTGAGGCCTTATAACATTGAGTTTTTCGGCCGGTGCCGTTGGTGAGCAAGTAATTTCTCTTTTTCTCATTTTGCTTGCGTAACACGGTTCTTGCTTCTTAGCCAAATTTGTGTTCCAGTAATTCTTGACGTCATTAGCGGTTCGACCAGGCAATCTACCAGCAATCAATGACCACCTAAGCATGCATTTGAACAATTTGTCTACGAGTTATTAGTTTTGTATTGGATTAATACATTGTGTAAATCCTTTGAATTTGTGTCTGAAGAATAGAAAACCTGTTTCCTAGAAGCTTATGAAGGCGAAGGAGAAGATCAACTTCGTCAGAACCAAATTCTTCTCTTTTGATATTCGGATTCAAGTAGTTCACCCATCTTAGTCTACAGCTCTTCCTGCATCGGTTTAACCCTAGATAACCAATAATTGAGGTCAACTAATGAAGTATACTTTCCCCTGAGGTCAACTATGAACACCAATAGAGTGACAAGTAAAGCCTATATTACTATATTAGGACCAACGTAAATAAAACTTCTTTCATGTTATAGACATTTTTCTTTTCTTTTTTGCTTACTAGTATCCATAAAATGCGTTTGTTCTTTAAAAAAAAAATGTTAATTCTTTGTGACATATATGTAATGAAGATATGCACCGTACGTGTGGGATGGTCTCCATCCGGATAAGACTATATTAGGAGTTAGGACCGTACGATGTGCATGTACGCTAACAAAATAAATATATGTGTATAGTTGATGTTTGTGATTGTAATATAGAGATGGCCATGGTAAATAGTTTTTATTTTTCAACGAATGGTTTATTTGATTTCTTAGATTCTATTAATAATAAAACTGAACTACTTAAAACAATTTCTTTTGACTAAGATATATAGTTCAATGGTAGATGTGTTACCATTCAAATTAATTATGCATATTATATGTTGTCGATAAAACAAAAGAAACAAGACAAAAGTAAGAGCCAAGGAATTTGAAATTCGATTATACACACACACGCATCATGCACCTTTGATAATTTGCATCCAACGCCTTCCTTGCAAATCATTCGAAATTATTTCACAAAAATAGATTTTCAACTTTTTAATTAAAATTTTGAATATTTATATCCACAAAAAATTTCAAGTTTAAAAATACTGTAAACCTAAATTAATTAAAATGAAAGCTTATATTTTTACATTAGTCTTGTATAGATTAAGATTGGTAAGACATATAGAATCATTGTTTTCTTTCCCTTTTATTTTTTTCTATTTTGAGTCGTTTATGCATTTGCAAATTTTAAAACATAATAAATAGAATTTTATTAATTTAGATATTACAAAATTTAGGTATTTCAAAATTTTCATAAATAGTAATTTTGTTAAATGTCAGATTGTATATAAACGCATTAAACTTATATGATACTCTCTATTTTATATTAAGTGTCATTTTATACTCTTAAATTTTTTTTAAAATAAATGTTAATTGTATTTTTCAATGAAAATATTTTTAATTTTTTTTTTTAATTTTATCCTATTGACCAAAAAATATTATATAAAATATTAATAATATGTAAAATAAAAAATTGAATTACTTTCTAACACGTCTAAAACAACCTTAAATGATGCTTATAATAAAACGGGGGAGTAAGATATCTATATAATTAAATTTTCTAGATAAAGCCAATTTCTATACATATATTTTTTTTTGGAATTACTAAGAAGTTTTAGGCCTATACCCATACATCCTCTGAGGCCAGAGACCAATGCATTTTAAGTGGTTTCTTCCCAAGTTTCACTCAAACCAGCGACCTCTAAACTTTGCTTGAGATATTTTACCAGTGGAACTATTGACACTTGATATATATATACATTGTAGGAGTCTTAATCCTATCGAAAGCCTCACATATGTTTGTATAATACTCCTCTATTTCAGTTTAATTGTTGTTTTAAAACTTAAAATCTATTTCAAAATAGATGTCGTTTTAGGTTTTCAATGCAGTTGTTTATTAAAAATTCCAGTTTATTCCTATAATTTTAATTTCCTGACCAATGAAAAATATTATAGAATATATCAATAAATGGTAAAACATAATTTAATTGTTTTATTAATTTTTTGCAAAAACTTTAAATGTAATTCGAAACAGAGGGAGTATACCTTTGTTTAAGCTCATCAATAAAGAAAGTCATTGTAATATTTAATTTTGCATAGTATTCATTGACTAGTTTAAATGCAGTAGGTACGGTTGGGGAGTTTGCGTTTTTAAATATTATTACGCATTTTGAACGACTAGTTTATATGTTAAAAACATATGCATTTGCTAGAGTTTTATGATTGGTTGACCAACAGAAGCGACATAGTTTAAACCAAAAATTACAAAAATAAATATAATATATAATTATAAAAAGGGGTTTTTGCAAAAATGCCATTTTTTCAATGCCACTTTTCAAAAATACCCTTTTTTAAAAACCTTATAAAAATGCTCTTAAAAATATAAGATTTAACCAAATATGTATGTAATATTATTAAAACATACACAAACTACATTTCTATGTATCTAAAATCTTATAAATACTTTATAAATACCTTATAAATGTATTTTAAAAACCTTTAAAATATCTTGTAAAACCTTTGAAAAACCTTAAAAATCCTTTAAAATAACTTGTAAAACCTTTTAAAACACCTTATAAAACCTTATAAATAATTGGATCGAATCTTCAAGTAGTAGTTACAATCCATAAGTACCTTATAAACCTAATAAAACTTTATAAAATTTCAGATTTAAAAAAGGGCATTTTTGAAAAAGGGCACACCAAAAGGGGTATTTTTAACAATTTCCCTTATAAAAATATATTAAAACACCAAAAACTATATTTTTATGATAAATATAAAAAAAATGAACATGATGAATTATGAAAACCATAAAAAGTACAAGAAAGTTATTTTAAAACTAATAAATTTTATAGTGAAACACAAATAATTATTCGTATTGGAAGATTTTTTTTATTGAAAGATTAAAGTAAGAGAACAATTATTATTTGAGGATTAACGTCAATATATATAAGATTTGATAATATTTTTTTTTTTGAGTCATCCACTACCGCTTGCAAACGTTTGTAAAAGAGTTATTGAAATTTAACGATCACAAATGGCCAGAACGGCATAAAACAATTTCCGTGAATGGTCTTAAAACTAGCAACCACAACTTTTTTTGGTGTGGGATAACCAATCAATATCCATAAGTCTTAGTTTGTTTATTTTTAGCTTAATGCGCTGGTGCGACGATCAAATCACATATGTGAAACTAAACGGCACATCAAACAAGCCAATCTAATTAATTTATAATTCTATACATACCTCAAAGCATGAAAAATGATTGTGCACCCATTTGTTCACTAATTTTTTTTTTTCAACTCTTTTTTTTTTTTTTTTTTTTTGATAACCGAGTGTCCTGGCCCCACCGAAGTGGTCCAGACTAGAGACCGAACCCTTATGGCACGGACGCACACCCGAGGGTAGGTCATGGCCAGGTAACGGTCTCGGGCGTCAGAGCAAGTCCGCATGTAAATTCCTTGGTGACCACTAGTATGTAGCAAAGGGGAATCGAATCCGGGCGTAATGGGTTTTATTTTCAACTTGTTAATTAATTTCAGTGAAATACCAATATATAAGTGATAAATACATATAAAATAGAGTCAATTAGCTGTATGCTAATTATTTAAAAAATAATTAGCTTGTACATACACAACTTTTATTCTTTGCAAAACAAGAGAGAGAAATCTTTGGTTTCGAAAAAATCGGACGAATTTACCCCTGGAATAAGACACATGTGTATTTCCCGATATATCATTATATATCATGATATATAATCAAAAAGAGAATGGTTAGAAAAACCAGAAACTGATGTTGGATCATAAAAAACCAATCAATCTCTATGACAACTCTGCAAAGAATCCTCCAAATCAAGATCAACACCAACACGATTCAAGACATTATCTTCCACTTATTCTCAAGTTCCTTAAACCTCTCAACATCAAACTTATGACTCTTAAGCAACTTCCTCTGTCTCTTGAAGTCATCAAGAAATAAGCATAACCCACAATAATCCAGTAGCTATAGTGAAAAACGTTATTTGTTCTTAGCGTCGTCGGTTGACGGTGTCTCAAATCATCTCTAACAGAAGCTCAATAATAACGAACGACACCCAAACATACGACGTCTCTGTATCGAAATTTTTTTAAGGTTTATTGAGTTCATTTTAATCAGAAAAATGCGACGAGTTTAATGAATTCAAAATATCATAATTTTAGATGCAATCAGTTTCATAATTAAGAAGAATCATTTGTTTGGGGTTATCATAAAGTAAAGAAAAAAGAAAAAGAAAAAAATAAATAATAAAAGGAAAGAGAAACAAAGAAAGAAGGAAGAAAGAAGGAAGTGTTTGATTTTAGGGGTATTTTAGGGGTTATTGGTTCATGGATTTATATGGAATTAGAAATCCAAACAAAAATCATTTGTTATTCAATCATTGATTTTAAAATCCTAATTAAATTCATGTGTTATTGGTTCTATGATTTATAAATACTAGTTAAAATCATATGTTATTCGTTTAATCATTTGTTTTCGGATTTGAGAATCCAAATTATGTTTTAAATGGAATTGAATGGAATTGAAAGAGAAAAATAGAAGGATTCAAATCCATGGGTAAACACATGTTATTTCAAAATCCATATATCTTGATTTCATAATTAATAGAAATTTTCAAATTCTATATAGATTTACAAATTAATAAACCAATAACTAAGTCTTTTTATCATCTTTTCAGTTGATCATTTATTTACAGGTTTGCCACTTTTCCTTTGACTTAAATACTTCTCAGTCTTAGGGTATGTAGTGTAATTACTCTATAAAATATACCAGCACGTAAAGGAACTAGATTCCATTTGCCTTCTCCATAAGTATCAATGCATTGCCTCAAACGACTATCTTCTTCAGAAGTCCATGCACCTTTTGTCAACCCTCTGGACGAACCCTCCTGGAGCAAAGAGAAATATTAAAATTATCTAACCAAATAGTTATAAAATTTAAAAATTATCTAAGAAGAGTATGTTGTGACTCATCGAATCCTTTGTCAGACATATATATAGAGAGTAACCTCGCGAGGTTACTCTATTACACACACATTTACACTATTACACATGTGAGGGGTTAAGGAAGTGACGTGCATGTTTGATATCCACATTTCAATTTTTTCTTATGCCAAAATATATTTGGTTTGGATAATTAAGACTATCTTACAAATTTAGATGTATCGGTAACTACTAAGATATTTTGAAAAACCATTATTATTGAGTAAAAACACTAAGTTATTAAAATATTTACTACAATGCAAGCTTGGCTTGTTTGCAAGAGCTCTCTCGTGAAGCCACCACCCTCAAGTTTCGACCACTCTACTTTCTTTTCAATTTGCGACAAATTTTATTTTCATTTTCTTGTAAGTAGAACTTTTTTCTATGAGAAATAAATTTAACATTTCAAAACAAAAAAAAAAAAATCGATTTTATTTACTCTCAATATAGCATAAGTAGTATAATTTTTCCAACGAACTTCATGTAGTACAAAAATGGATCTAGTAAGCAACACCCTCAGCCTCTCCTATATACTTATATGGTCCGAGACATCGATCCACTCAAGCTGCAACTCGACCTCCCCGCGCTCAACGTTCTGGAGCCTAAGAAACATATTTTGGACAATCTTTTTTCCTTTGTGCCACACAATCTTGCTCTCTTCTGACAAACAGTTCTGCCTGCTTGCTTGTATCTTCATTATGACGGTCCCATCGGGAAGTCCTCCGAGCTGATTTTGGATTCTGATGGCTTCGAGGAACGGATCAATGTGGAAAACCGCATCTCCCATCTTATCATCCCTTGAGAACCAGTCTCTATCGTACACCATCTATATCATCACAACAAAAACAAACACCCACTTTCTTGTTGTGTTGTTCTGTTTCAAAATTAAAAAATCAAGAATCTACTACGGTCTAGTTTATCGTGTTTAATACGTTTTTAACTGAGAAAGAGCAAGTTGTTGTAATGAAGAATCACTTACGATTTTGACAGGAAGAGTTGGATCAGTAACAGAAAGTGTCAAGTCTTCGTTCCATTCCGGATTTAAATTCTTTTTCATCACACGGGTTCGTAACTTCTGCGTCAAAGAAGAGAAATAACTTTGTTCAGATTCATAACCATATCAAAAACTTGGTGAATTAATGCCTGTCTTTTCGCTCACTTTATTTTTTTTATTGATACATTAATTTCTAGGAAGTTCTTAGTATCCTATAATTGAAAGTTTATAGTATGTGATTATAATGGACATGTTACAAATTCACAACTAACATTGTCCTACTAAGTTTCAAAGGACCAATTCAGCCAAAACTTTTGGGTGAAAATCATCTAATTCTGTAAAAAAAAAGACCATAATTATTTCATTCAATAAATACATCAGAATCTCTAAGAAGCAAAACCAGATTCATAACCAAATATCCATTCATTAAAAACAATGGAGACTAGGGAAGATCAAGAAGCTATTGATAACAATTACTTGAGAAACTCGATCAAAACTACTTTAACCTATAATTTTTTTTGATCAAAACTACTTTAACCAAAAAAAAAAAACTCGATCAAGAACTCGAAAATGGAAGCCTAAATTGGAAGAAAAACGATGAAATTTTGGGTTACCTGTTTGCCCATACGGACAATGACGTAAGGATCGCTGCTATGAGAATCTCTAATGGCAAGATTAACACCTCTAATCACATGAAGTCTTAGAAGACCTAACATATTCTCCATTTTCTCTCTTTCTTTAGATCAAAGGAATTTGCTTTCCGAGTAAACTTTTGGGCTTTTTCTTCAAATGCAAAAAAAAAAAAAAAATAGATCAAAGAAAATTTGGTTTGTAGGAAATTTTTTTGTGATTAAGTGACATTTTAACCTCTGAAGTGTTAAGGACCTCAAAATTCAGTCAAAACATAAGAGAAAAAGTCTCGTGTTTCTTTCCTAAATGACTCGTGTCGTATTTAAGAAAATGTAAAATTATATTCCATTTCTAGATATTGCTTTCTTTAAATGGTCCGAAATAAAAGCCTAAAAACTTAAATTTGCCAAAGTCAATACCATAGAAGGCGTTATATCTTTTTCCTACATTGACTTCATGTACTAGCAGCTTTTAATACGTAACGCGGATTCGACGCGTCATTAGTCTTTTTTTACGCGTCATTAGTTCATAAAAAGGTATTAAAATGATGAATTAAATTATCGTAAAAAATGTGTTTAGATAATATTATAAGATTAAAATAATGCAAAAGAAAAGCAGAGTCAAATTCAATCAAATATTCTTTATTATAGTAAATTGTATGTTATTCAATCAGAGATTTTTAAAAATTATTAGTTGATACTGTCTACTAAAAATCAATACTATATTGAACTAAATACACCCTCGTTTATTAAAACTAAATGATCTGGAGGTATAGAGACATCTAGAACCGCTTTTGAATCCATATATAAGAGAAAAACATCAATTGGCTTTTATTCCTTTGGTGCAAGATATACAACTAAAGAAAAATAGAAAAAAATTGTTCCTATGATTACTAAAATTATATTAAGAAAGATGAAAAAGAATGCTGTTGCAAAATATCTTTGGTCATCTTGATCGGCTCTATGTAATCTGTCTCAAAGAAGAGTAAGATCTATCTTACGTTTAAAAACGCTCGACATCGTCAAAATGAGAGACTCTGATTCTGAATGTAGAGATTATAAGCTATTTCTATGACTTCACGAACCATCAAAGTAATCTCATCTTCCTTACCCGAAGAAAAAAAATGTAGTCTTCCATGAACAGTGCATTTGGAAAGTGTTGGTGTTTCAAGATCCGAAGAAAACCCTTCTCTTCAAATGTTGTAGCAATATGAAGAACTCAAAAAGAAAAAAATCAAATCAAATTTATAATAATTGTCTTAGTGATGGATTGATCATTTATTCCATAATGATAGCAACGTAGATATTAACCATCATCTCTTGCTTATCTTCTTCCTATCAGGCATCATATCCACCATTGTTTCAAGCTTCTGAGATGCTGTTATATGATCCACCACTGTATCTACTGTCCTCACCAGAGTCCTCGGCATCTTCTGTTATGTTGTGTCACTATCGTCTTAGCTTTCTAGTTTGTTTTCTTCGCCATTATCTTCAAGGAAGAAGGGTCTCTTTCAACATGTACAATTTTCATCGTGCTTTTTCTATACACGAACTTTGCTATCGTTCCGATTTTAATCTAAATAAAACTTTATTTCAAATAAAATACATGAACATCCAAATTTTATCCGAAATCAACATTGCCTGACAATGTGTTACTTAACCATGCTGAGTCAGATGGCACGTGTACAGTTTATGCTTACCATTTTGATCAATATTGATTTCGGCTAAAGTTTCGTAGTTCTTGTAAGTTTATTTGAAAAAAAATTGTTGAGGTTTAAATCGACACGGTATCAAAATTGGTGTTTAAAAAGGTACAATAAAAATTGTACAGGTTAAAATAGGCCCTTCTCCCTCATCTTCACATCCATCTCTACATTGTACTACGTGGTCTTTGCTGTCTCTAACTGTGCCACCTTCTTCGCCTTTCAAAGTGAAGACTTGGAAGGCCTTCATGCAAGGAGACTATATCTGTATTTTATCTTCATCTTCACCTCAAATTCAGATTTAAGCTAAGGATCCAAATAGGAAAAAAACAGAGACTTGCAAAAGATGATGACATAATTACGTTAGGTTTTCCTTATTTAAATAAACTAGTGGCAATGGATTTGGGGTTCGGGTGAATGAAGTGAAAGACGATGACGAACAAATGCCCAGTTGGTGATGGGTGGTGGATTAGACGGCTAAGCCTTGTGGCGCGATAATGTTTCACCATATTCATATAACAGGACCCACCAGTAAAAGAAGATGGTATGAAAATTCGACACCCTTGATTGTTGAGATAACGATCGCCAAGTTCAGCAGTTTTCCTTATCCGCTCAGTTTTTACACCTTAAATTTTTGTGGTTAATTAAACCAGATATAACGTAACTGATTGGTTTCGATCATCATGTACGTATCGAACAGAAATTGCTAAAATAGCATTCCTAACATAGGAATGACCGGAGACTCATTGTACCTCGTCCGTATACGATAGGTAAAAAAACTCAAGTATCGTTACATTTTTCCTTTTTCTTCCACACAAACCAGCAAAGCAATTGTCGATACCAATCAGAAATCATCCTCTCCATAGGGGAACAACAATGAATAATGCGATGACAAATAGGTTGGATGCAATTTGCTTATTCTATACAATTTATTGGTGCTCTGATACCTAGTAACTTTTTTAACGGTGATAACACCCGTGATATCATCCTTCATGCGAGAACTGGTAAATTGCATAAAATAAGAGAATTGCATCCAGCTTATTTGCCATTGCAGTATCCATTGATGTTCCCCTATGGAGAGGATGGTTTCAGATTGGGTATCAACATTGGCTTTGTTGATTTGGGTGGAAGAAAAAAGAAAAATGTAACGATGCGTGAGATTTTTGCCTATCGTATACAGACGAGAGGTACAATGAGTCTCTGGTCATTCCTATGTCTGGAAGTCTATTTCTTTGGTCGATACATACACGATGATTGAGACCAATCAGTTACGTTATATCTGGTTTAACCAAAAAAATTCAAAGTGTGAAAACTACGAGCAAATAAGAAAAACTTACTGAACTTGGCGATTGTTATCTCAACGATCAAGGACGTCGGATCTTTATACCATCTTCTCTTACTAGTGGTTCCAGTTATATGATGCATAGTAGAATGACTTGATATATAACAGAAGATTGATTATGCATGTGATTTTTAATATATGAGATGATATATAATGATATGATATAAGATGAGTTGTTGGATGAGCTTGGAATTGGTTTTGTGCCTCATAGTGATCAGACGAGTTTCAGATTAGTTACGTGCATGAAATTTGGACGAGCATGAGACTGGTTTTGTGCCTAGTGAGTAGTGGCTAATGCGACGGGATTTCGGTTTAGCATTATTGATGATCAACAGTATTTACTCAAACAATCATCAATATTATCAATCAATTCTTATCAAGCATCACCAAGTCTAACTTAAACGAACATATTTATTTTTAAGCGTTGTGAAGCGTAAGAACCAAAGAACAATAGAGCGTATCCACATAACTGGCCTTACCTTAATTTTTGGCTCAAAGCAGCTGGAAACGGTCAAAGCGGGTGGTGATTGACGTCTAGAAACTTGCAGCAAAAGACACATATACATAACCAAACTTAGGGCTTCTGGAAAAATTGCAAAACACAAAACCAAATCTGGAAACTTGTAGGACAAGCAACAAGACTTATCAAGTAGGGATTACCTTTTATCTTAACGGTTAGGATAAAGTGCGTTGGAACCGGTTTCTCCTTCTCGGGTTCGTTCGGCGAAAACTACAAAAGTTAACAACGGCCACGGTGATCGCTGCTCAATAGGGCTCTCGATTCTTTAACTTTTCTCTTGCGGCACGAACAAGGAGATATATACACACACACGAGACACTCAGGGGTTTAAAGGCCACAAACTTCTCTTATTGGGCCTGAGCTTCAAAATTTAATCAAACTTATTCCAAACAATTTAAACAAATCCAGAATGCATCATTCTCTTTTCTCCTTATTTTCATTTTTAAAAATAGAAGTAGGAGTAAAAAACTACTTTCGACGACGAAACAAAATTTTAAAATGTTGGTAGCGTCGAAGAATGATGCCCATCAAAATCTCGTTTCTAAGAACATATATGTTAAGTAAGTTTTTTTTTTAAGGGTTTTGAAACTAACTATTTATAAAAATTTGATGAAAAACATATCATCGGAAGCCATCATCAATTGCGTTGGCACTAGTGACAGTGAAACTTTCACAAGTTTTAGAACGAAACTTGTAAAAGTTTTTGAAAAATTATTCAAATTTATCATAAATTATATTAGTTTCCCAAATTATATATATGTATGTAAACTAAACTTTCACAAGTTTCTAATAATTTTGACAAATTTATGTTTTGAACAATCTCTGCGGACTGCAGACAAAAAAAAATTTCACTTGTGAACGGTATAATTCTGTTAATTCTTGCATATTTCCGTCTCAAAATAATAAAATTGGTAGTTGTTAGATTGATTATAAAAAATGTTACCTACCAAATTGAACAAAATAAAAAATTTAGTCTTATGTATTAACACTGGTTTTAGGGCTTGATTGGTTCTCCCGCTAGCACCCTCCTAGCGGTTGCTAGCGGTCGGTTACGGTTGTTAGCGGTTGGTACCAATCATAGAAACCGCTCCGTACCGCTTCAAACCGCTCGAAATCGCTGAATTTCAAAAGCTCCTTCCCGCAAGCGTTTGCGGTTGCGGGCGGTAGCGGTTGGATTTTAAAAAAAAAAAAAAAAAAAATCAAACGTTTACTTATAATTATTATAAAATATATTAATCTTATATATATCTTTCATCTTTGTATCACGTTCTCATCAGAAACCCTAATCAGTATTCTAAAACTTTATTTTCTCAATGTCTTCCACCCAAACTGATGAAAATCAATTTGAATATTTTTTTCTTTCATTATATATTGCTTTTCTTTTTGATTGAATATATGTTTCGATTTGTTTTCTCGAATAGAAAATTACTTGCTTTTTGATTGAATTCAACGTTATTTACAGTTTGTCCCATTACTTGATACAATTTTTGGTGTTAACGACCCAGCATAAAGTACTATCTTATTATAAAATTTCTTTATTTTTGAATAATTATTTAGTACTTTATTTATGGTTTTAATTATTAAGCATGTTCAATTTTTCTAATATTATCATAATAATATATTGGTGTTTTTATTTCTTTTTTTTTGTAATATTTTTTATTTTTTTAGTCACTTTTTATTTAACTGCTACCGCACCCGCTGGTTTACCAGTCACAAAACTTCCGCAAACGCATCCATTTTCAAACGCTAAACCAGTCGTTCAAAACGCTTGGTAACGCTTGAAACCGCAAC